CTCTAAAAGAATATATTAAACCAAAACCCTGGTGGGCATTACACATCCCAAAAACCTTTCTTTTTTGGAAAATAGTCTCCCCCCAAAAACACCCAAACCCGAGCCTCATTTCCCCAAAAAACTCTTTTTTCAGCCCTCTAGGAACTTTTTTCTAAACCCACATACATATATCCCCTTTTAAAATAAGGGCCCTTAATTTTTTTCTCCACCCCCACCACACACACACACACACACACCACAAACCCACACACAAAACAACACAAAACCCCCACCACCTCTTTCCCCAAAGGGGTCCAAATCCTGAGGAAAAAACGAGGGAACAGGGAGGGTGGAGGGTGCATTGCTGATCCAAAAAAGCTGGAATTTTGATGAGTGGAGAGAGGAGACAGCGGGGAAGAAAATTTATTACATAGCGGGAAAAGCTTCATCTGGAGGCCCCAGGGGGGAATAGCAGTAATGTATAACCCACCACAGAAAAAAGCAGGGGGCCAAGGCAAAAAGGGACGACGGGGGGCAAAAGAGCGATGGTTGGGCCACTGGCTTTGAGTGGCCAGAAGGCTCATGCATGCAGGGGAAAGTCCCCGATCAAGGGTGACTTTAAAACCCCAAAGGGGGATCGATTGGGGCCAAGATACATGGAGGGGGGTAAGATGATGGAGGTGGGGCTGGAAAATTCATGTGCCAACCCCGTAAGGGACCTACAAGAAAAAGAGAGGGGAGGGTGAACCCCGCAAGGGTGGGGCTAGTATTCAATTGGAGTTTTGTGCAGAATTTGGGCATCACAAAATGAAAGACCCCCCTTGGGGCCCTTTACCCCCGTTTTTTAAGCTTCGAATTTCACAGTAGAGCACAAAATGGAGGGAGAAGCAGGAAGGCCAGGACGAATGAAGCCAAACTAAAGAAAAAGGGGGCTACATAGGAATTTAGGAAACTTCCTGAATGGGTTCAGTGGGGCAGAGAACTGGCAGGGAAACCAGTTAATGAGATGATGGAATATGTAGCAACAAAATGCAAGGAGGCTGAGGAGAGGTTTGTACCCAAGGGTAACAGGAATAATGAAAAAGCTAGGATGAGCCCATGGTTTACCCAAAGGTGCAGGGAGGCAAAAACCAAGTGTGCTAGGGAATGGAAGAAATATAGAAGGCAAAGAACCCAGGAGAATAAGGAGAGCAGTCGTAGAGCCAGAAACGAATATGCACAGATAAGAAGGGAGGCCCAAAGACAATATGAAAATGACATAGCAGCGAAAGCCAAATCTGACCCGAAAATGTTGTACAGCCACATCAGGAGGAAAACAACAGTCAAGGGCCAGGTAATCAGGCTAAGGAAGGAAGGAGGAGAGACAACAAGAAATGACCGTGAAGTATGTGAAGAACTCAACAAGAGATTCAAAGAAGTGTTCACAGAGGAGACAGAAGGGGCTCCAGAAAGACGGAGAGGTGGGGCACACCACCATGTGCTGGACACAGTGCATACAACCGAGGAAGAAGTGAAGAGGCTTCTGAGTGAGCTAGATACCTCAAAGGCAATGCGGCCAGATAACATCTCCCCATGGGTATTGAGAGAGGGAGCATTGGCACTATGTGTACCCCTAACAACAATATTCAATACATCTATCGAAACAGGGAGATTGCCTGAGGCATGGAAGACAGCAAATGTAGTCCCAATCTTTAAAAAAGGAGACAGACATGAAGCATTAAACTACAGACCAGTGTCACTGACATGTATAGTATGCAGAATCATGGAGAAGATTATCAGGAGAAGTGTGGTGGAACACCTAGAAAGGAACGATCTCATCAACAGCAGCCAACATGGTTTCAGGGACGGGAAATCCTGTGTCACAAACCTACTGGAGTTCTATGACATGGTGACAGCAGTAAGACAGAGAGAGAGGGGTGGTGGATTGCATTTTTCTTGGACTGCAAGAAGGCGTTTTGACACAGTTCCACACAAGAGATTGGTGCAAAAAGTGGAGGACCAAGCAGGATAACAGGGAAGGCACTACAATGGATCAGGGAATACTTGACAGGAAGACAGCAGCGAGTCATGGTACGTGTGCGAGGTGTCAGAGTGGGCACCTGTGACCAGCGGGGGTCCCACAGGGGTCAGTCCTAGAACCAGTTGCTGTTTCTGGTATTTTGTGAACGACATGATGGAGGAATAGACTCTGAGATGTCCCTGTTTGCAGATGACGTGAAGCTGATGAGAGAATTCACTCGATCGAAGACCAGGCAGAAACTACAAAGGGATCTGGACAGGCTGCAGACCTGGTCCAGCAATTGGTTCCTGGAGTTCAATCCCACCAAGTGCAAAGTCATGAAGATTGGGGAAGGGCAAAGAAGACCGCAGACGGAGTACAGTCTAGGGGGGCCAGAGACTACAAATCTCACTCAAGGAAAAAGATCTTGGGTGGAGTATAACACCAGGCACATCTCCTGAAGCGCACATCAACCAAATAACTGCTGCAGCATATGGGCGCCTAGCAAACCTAAGAACAGCATTCCGACATCTTAATATGGAATCATTCAGGACCCTGTACACCGTGTACGTTAGGCCCATATTGGAGTATGCGGCACCAGTTTGGAACCCACACCTAGCCAAGCACGTAAAGAAACTAGAGAAAGTGCAAAGGTTTGCAACAAGACTAGTCCCAGAGCTAAGAGGTATGTCCTACGAGGAGAGGTTAACGGAAATCAACCTGACGACACTGGCGGACAGGAGAGATAGGGGGGACATGATAACGACATACAAAATACTGAGAAGAATTGACAAGGTGGACAAAGACAGGATGTTCCAGAGATTGGACACAGTAATAAGGGGACACAGTTGGAAGCTGAAGACACAGATGAATCACAGGGATGTTAGGAAGTATTTCTTCAGCCACAGAGTAGTCAGTAAGTGGAATAGTTTGGGAAGTGATGTAGTGGAGGCAGGATCCATACATAGCTTTAAGCAGAGGTATGATAAAGCTCACGGCTCAGGGAGAGTGACCTAGTAGCGATCAGTGAAGAGGCGGGGCCAGGAGCTCGGACTCGACCCCCGCAACCTCAACTAGGTGAGTACAACTAGGTGAGTACACACACACACACACACACAGTGAAGAGGCGGGGGGCCAGGAGCTATGACTCTTCCCCTGCGACCACAACTAGGTGAGTACACACACACTAGGCTCTACTTTGTAAACTTTCCAAGAGTCTTATTGACATCATTTCCAAAACTGTAATTCTTCTGCAGTCGTAACATTCATCTATTTTTATTGAATCCTTCAAGGTCATGTGCTAATTCATACCTATGACATATCCGTCACCAGTTTCAAGAATTGTTCTACTCATGAACTTTTGTCTGAAATTAGTGTTCATTGTTGACTGACTGGTCAATCAGGCTATTGCCGTCAGCTGCCCACAGGCCTACAATACTGTATCCATTGCAACGTAGCTGATCTGGTCCTTGTTGTAGGTAGACATCTAGTTTTCTTTTCCGAACCTCTAACTTTTTTTTCAAAAATATTTTTATAACATCTGCCACATTGCTCCCCTATCCACTCTATCATATGCCTTTTCAAAATTCATAAATGCAGTGAAAACTTCCCATCCTTTATCTAAATACTGTTTATATATATAGTTCAGTGTAAACACTTGATCTACACGTCCCCAACCCACTCTAAAACCTTCTTGCTCATCCGCAATCCTACATTCTGTCTTACTTCTAATTCTTTCAATAACCCTACCGTACACTTTTCCTGGTATACTCAGTAAACTTATTCTTCTATATTTTTTACAATCTCTTATGTCCCCCTTCCCTATATATAAGGAACTATACATGCTCTCTGCTAATCCCTTGGTATCTTCCCTTCTTTCATGCATTAAACAAAAATACCAACCACTCCAACACAATATCCCTTCCCCTTGCTTTTAACATTTCTGTCATGATCCCATCAGTTACAGCTGCTTTACCCCCTTTCATTTTACGTAATGCCTCACGTACCTCCCCCACACTCACATCCTGCTCTTCTTCATTCCTAAAAGATGGTATACCTCCCTGGCCAGTGCATAAAATTACCGCCTCCCTTTTTTCATCGAAATTTAAAAGTTCCTTAAAATATTCTCGCCATCTACCCAAAACCTCCATCTCCCCATCTACTAACTCCTCTACTCTGTTTTTAACTGACAAATATTCCCTCTTTTCCTGCCATAACTTATCCTTCAACATTATTGCTACTCCTTCTTTAGCTCTAACTCTATTTGAAACCCCTGACCTAATCCCATTTATTCCTCTCCACTGAAACTCTCCCACCCCCTTCAGCTTTGTTTCACTTAAAGCCAGGACATCCAGTTTCTTCTCATTCATAACATCCACAATCATCTCTTTCTTATCAATCGCACAACATCCACGCACATTCAAACATCCCTCTTTGATGGTTTTCTTCTTTTTCTTTTTAGTAAGCTATATGGGAAAAGGGGTTAGTAGCCAATTTTTCCCAGGATTTTAGTTGACTTTTACAACACGCATGGCTTATGGAGGAGAGATTCTTATTCCACTTCCCCATGGATATGAAAGGAAAAGCAATAAGAATAAGAACTATTAAGATAAAATCAAAGAAAACTCAGATGAGTGTGTATAAATAAACATGTACATGTATGTGTACTGTGACCTAATTGTAAGTAGAAATAGCAAGACGTACCTGTAATCTTGCATATTTATGAGACAGAAAAAAGACACCAGCAACCCTACCATCACGTAAAACAAATACAGGCTTCCTTTTACATTCACTTGGTAGGGACGGTAGTACCTCCCTGAATGGTTGCATAGTGCCATTAGTTAAGTCCCACATGCATCATTTTAGACTACATTTAACTAAAAAAATATTAACATTTAGATATCTTTAAGAATACTAAAAAACAATATGTTAATAAATCATGATTACTTAAATAATATATATAACTGATAAGGGTGATCAACAAAACCTGGTAAGCTAACAGAGATGGAGCAAGTTCTCTTACCTTTGAGGAAGACTTTGGCCTTGTGCTGCTCAGAGGTAGTGTCTGAGAGAACCTCTGAAGCCACGGCTCTGATGATGGTCCAGTCTCGAGAGATGTCATCTAGGGTGGTGTGTGTGGCCGTCACGGTGAATCTATAGCACACATAGTATCTATATCTTGTAATCTAGACCATTCTTTACATATTGGCTAATTAGTTTCAAAACCAGTCGATTACACGAGAATCATTAAGGGGCACTATAATCTACCTTGTCCATAATTACTCTCACATTTACTTTGTCTGCTTCGTACTGTTAAGTCAGGATCTTTCCTTAATTCATGGTATAACTTAACAAATCTTTGAGGACAACTGTGTTGTAGAAGTCTGAGCACAGAATGAATTAAGGAAAGATCCTGGACTTCACGTTACGGAACAAAACAAATGCGATGGTAATCATGGACAAGGTAGATTATAGTCGAGAAAGGAACATGTTATTAGGAGACGGGGGAATTTACGTGCCTCTTAAGGCTTCATGTAACCTCTTCACCACCAGTGAAATAGTGATTAAAGTAAAACACTGAGAGACTTGCATCATTCTACCCCATCTATATATAAAACATCTCACATTAATAAACTACAACATGTAGTCTCCCACTGAAGCAACTTGACCCAACAAAGAATACATTTTCACTTTCACTCGTTTAATCACTGTCTTGCCAGTAGCGTACTGACATCACAGTTCAGATAACCCTCCTAACTGCAATATCACCCCCCCCCTCAAGAGTGCAGGCACTGTTCTTCCCACCTCCACTTCTTCAGAGTGCAGGCACTGTTCTTCCCACCTCCACTTCTTCAGAGTGCAGGCACTGTTCTTCCCACCTCCACTTCTTCAGAGTGCAGGCACTGTTGTTCCCACCTCCACTTCTTCAGAGTGCAGGCACTGTTGTTCCCACCTCCACTTCTTCAGAGTTCAGGCACTGTTCTCCCTACCTCCACTTCTTCAGAGTGCAGGCACTGTTCTCCCTACCTCCACTTCTTCAGAGTGCAGGCACTGTTCTTCCCACCTCCACTTCTTCAGAGTGCAGGCACTGTTCTTCCCACCTCCACTTCTTCAGAGTGCAGGCACTGTTTTTTCCCACCTCCACTTCTTCAGAGTGCAGGCACTGTTCTCCTACCTCCACTTCTTCAGAGGCAGGCACTGTTTCTTTTCCCCCCCTCCACTTCTTCAGAGTGCAGGCACTGTTCCCCCACCTCCACTTCTTCAAGTGCAGGCACCCGTTCTTCCCACCTCCACTTCTTCAGAGTGCAGGCACTGTTCTTCCCCCCTCCACTTCTTCAGAGTGCAGGGAAATGTTTCTCCTAAACCCCCACTTCTTCAGAGTGCAGGCACTGTTCTCCCTACCTTTCCCCTTCTTCAGAGTGCAGGCACTGTTCTCCCCACCTCCACTTCTTCAGAGTGCAGGCACTGTTCTTCCCACCTCCACTTCTTCAGAGTGCAGGCACTGTTCTTCCCACCTCCACTTCTTCAGAGTGCAGGCCTTTTTTCTTCCCACCTCCACTTCTTCAGAGTGCAGGCACTGTTCTCCCTACCTCCACTTCTTCAGAGTGCAGGCACTGTTCTCCCTACCTCCACTTCTTCAGAGTGCAGGCACTGTTCTTCCCACCTCCACTTCTTCAGAGTGCAGGCACTGTTCTCCCCACCTCCACTTCTTCAGAGTGCAGGCACTGTTCTCCCTACCTCCACTTCTTCAGAGTGCAGGCACTGTTCCCCCTACCTTTCCACTTCTTCAGAGTGCAGGCACTGTTCTCCCTACCTCCACTTCTTCAGAGGCAGGCACTGTTCTCCCACCTCCACTTCTTCAGAGTGCAGGCACTGTTCTCCCACCTCCACTTCTTCAGAGTGCAGGCACTGTTTCTCCCACCCCACTCTTCAGAGTTTCAGGCACTGTTCTTCCCCCCCTCCACTTCTCAGAGTGCAGGCAAATGTTCTTCCCACCTCCACTTCTTTAGAGTGCAGGCACTGTTCTTCCCGCCTCCACTTCTTATGTGCAGGCACTGTTCTCCCACCTCCACTTCTTCAGAGTGCAGGCCACTGTTCTCCCTACCTCCACTTCTTCAGAGTGCAGGCACTGTTCTCCCTACCTCCACTTCTTCAGAGTGCAGGCACTGTTCTTCCCACCTCCACTTCTTCAGAGTGCAGGCACTGTTCTCCCTACCTCCACTTCTTCAGAGTGCAGGCACTGTTCTCCCCACCTCCACTTCTTCAGAGTGCAGGCACTTTCTTTCCCACCTCCACTTCTTTAGAGTGCAAGGCACTGTTCTCTCCCACCTCCACTTCATCAAGTGCAGGCACTGTTTCTCCCCACCTCCCCTTCATCGAGTGCAGGCACTGTTCTTTTCCCCCCTCCACTTCTTCAGAGTGCAGGCAAATGTTCTCCCCACCTCCACTTCATCAGAGTGCAGGGCACTGTTCTTCCACCTCCACTTCATCAGAGTGCAGGCACTGTTCTCCCCACCTCCACTTCTTCAGAGTGCAGGCACTGTTCTCCCACCTCCACTTCTTCAGAGTGCAGGCACTGTTCTTCCCACCTCCACTTCATCAGAGTGCAGGCACTGTTCTTCCCACCTCCACTTCTTCAGAGTGCAGGCACTGTTCTTCCCCCCCCCCCACTTCTTCAGAGTGCAGGCACTGTTCTTTTCCCCCCTCCCTTCTTCAGAGTGCAGGCACGTTTTTTCCCACCTCCACTTCTTCAGAGTGCAGGCCATGTTCTTCCCACCTCCACTTCTTCAGAGTGCAGGCACTGTTCTTCCCACCTCCACTTCTTCAGAGTGCAGGCACTGTTCTTCCCACCTCCACTTCATCAGAGTGCAGGCACTGTTCTTTCCCACCTCCACTTCCAAGTGCCAGCACTGTTCTTCCACTCCCCACTCTTCCAGAGTTGCAGGGGGCCCCTGTTTTCCCCTCACTTCTTCAGTGCACTTTTCTTTCCCCACCTCCCTTCTTTAAGTCAGCACTGATTCTTCCCAACCTCCACTCTCCAACAGGCACTTTCTCCATTCCACTTCTTTAAGTGCAGGCACTGTCTTCCCCTCCTTCCAGAGTGCCGGGGGACTTTTTTTAATCTTCCGAGCTCTTTTCCCCTATTTTTCAGATGCAGGCACTGTCTTTTCCCACCTCATCTCATCAGATGTTTTCCCACTCCCTTCTTTGGGAATGTTCTTCCACCTCTTTCAATCCTTCTTCCCACCCCTATCGAGGCAGGCACTGTTCTTTTCCTTTTAAATGCAGCACTGTTCTCCCACCTCCACTTTATCAGAGTGCAGGCACTGTTTCTTCCCACCTCCACTTCTTTAGAGTGCAGGCACTGTTCTTCCCACCTCCACTTTTTCAAGTGCAGGGACTGTTCTTCCCACCTCCACTTCTTCAGAGTGCAGGCACTGTTCTTCCCACCTCCACTTCTTCAGAGTGCAGGCACTGTTCTTCCCACCTCCACTTCATCAGAGTGCAGGCACTGTTCTTCCCACCTCCACTTCTTCAGAGTGCAGGCACTGTTCTTCCCACCCCACTTTCATCAGAGTGCAGGCACTGTTCTCCCACCTCCACTTTTCAGAGTGCAGGCACTGTTCTTCCACCTCCACTTTTTCAGAGTGCAGGCACTGTTCTTCCCCTTTCTTCTTCAGGTAGGGAGGTATCATTTCAAATAAAATTTTTTTCTACCTACTTCATTATCAATTTCTACCCCTTATTTCTTTGGTCAAACTGCTTACATATTCATAATTCCCCTTTTTTAACTCCCTAACTTAAAAGGTTCAAACTGTTTTTCCCCCTCCCTTTTTCAGGTCCCCTGTCTTTCCCTATTCTTTTTATAGTCATTTAACATTATTTTATACTCATGGCCAACTTAAAATATGTTTTTGGTTTCCTTCCCTTCCATTTGACTAGCCGATTCCTTTCAATATCCTTCTTTCTCTTTTCCTAATTTTGTTGTTTTTTCTGCTTTGTTTAAGAATATTGTTAAAATTTTGTTCACTTCCATTTTATAAATTTTTTCATTTTTTTTCCTCCCAAGAGGACCTTGAAATATTTATTTAACACTTAATAAATATTTCATTTTTGCAGGAAAAAAAACTTTTAAAAATCAATTCCCGTTAATGAAAAATATTTATATTTTTACTTACGAATATGCACTTAAAAACAGCATGATACAATGATGTTTTTTCCCTCTGATTTTTTCATTGTCTGAAGTGCCTTTTACACCATACTTATGTTATCAAAACTCTTCTAACGTTCTATAAAAGCAATATACACAAGATTTTTTCACGGTTGTGGGAAGTAATTGATCCAACAAACAGTTTTATGATCAACATTTTCCATTTTTAGAGAAAAAGATTTTTCGCTAAAAAAAAAAAAACACTGGACTATATTTCAGTGTTTTTATAAATTTTTGGGCCGATTTTCAGAATTGCTTAAAATCGCACCACGGGTACTATTTTTAAAGCTGATTAAGAATATGCCAATGTTTTCATTAAAACTATTGTAATCTTCAAAAATGTATTTTTTTTTGTTTGTGGCAAATAACTGATCCAACAAACAGTTCCACGATAAATATATTTATGTTTAGATTCCCCCAAATCACTGGACAATCTTCCAGCACTTACACTCTCACCTGGATTGGAAAAATTGCTGAAAATCACTCCAGTTATACCATTTTTTTATATTACTTAAGAATATGCACTTAATTTTAGCATTATGCAAGGCTTCCCCCCCCCTGCCCCCCGCCTGATTTTTTCATTCGTGTGGATTTCAAAGTGTGTGTGTGTTAAGCGTGTGTGTGTGTGTGTGTGTGTGTGTGTGTGTGTGTGTGTGTGTGTGTGTTACCTGGAGTTTACCTGGAGAGAGTTCCGGGGGTCAACGCCCCCGCGGCCCGGTCTGTGACCAGGCCTCCTGGTGGATCAGAGCCTGATCAACCAGGCTGTTACTGCTGGCTGCACGCAAACCAACGTACGAGCCACAGCCCGGCTGATCAGGAACTGACTTTAGGTGCTTGTCCAGTGCCAGCTTGAAGACTGCCAGGGGTCTGTTGGTAATCCCCCTTATGTATGCTGGGAGGCAGTTGAACAGTCTCGGGCCCCTGACACTTATTGTATGGTCTC